TATTAAACACTATGTTTATTCTTTATAAAATGTGTTTTTGGTATGTATTTTGGAGTGTCTAGAACAAATTAATTGGATTTACATTGATTCATATGGAAATAATTGCTTCGGTTTTCATCAGTTTCAGATTTTACCAATTGTTTTCAGATGGATTATCAACAAAAACTGAGGTATCACTGTATATCAATATTTTTATGGATTTTTTTACTCTTGTCAACTGTATGAAACAGTCATAAAACATATCAGTAGGCTCTCATGTTTAGTTAGGTTTTGAATTTACACACGATCAACATTTAATGGGGGCCAAATATCTGTAGCATGCATGCTACCTGACTACTACTGTTTCTCAGTACACATCACAATTGAGTTTAGATCAAATTAATTTATAAAAACCATGATAATTGAGATTCATTTAATATAAATGATATTTACGAATTTGTGTACAATGCTGTTTAACTCAAATTAAATAATTTATTAATTATTTAATTATTCAAAAATGTACTAATATTTTATTTAATATTTATTATTACTAGGTAGCCAGTTAAAATAAAACTAAAAGTAATAAAATAATAATTAAAACTTTGATTTCTACATTGAAACTGAAACTAAAATTAAAAATAAAGTTAAAATTAATTAATTAATTAAAATTTAAATCAAAGCAATCAAAACATAATATTTCAGAAAGTGTGGATAAAGTACTTGTTGTTGTTGTCTGTCTTGATTGATTTGGTTATATTTCATCCAGGCAGAGTTGATTTTCTATTTATAGCAATTTTTGTAAAGTGGTTTCAGTTTTGCTTGGTGGTGATGGAACATTTTGCCTTTAATATATTTTTAATATATAAATATATATAATGGATGTAGACATAAATATAGATAATATTATATAATATAATGCATTATAATATATTGCATTTGTGGCATTTTTATGCATGAAACTTAACTAAAAAGGTAAGAAAAGACTTTGTTTTAGGGGATAGGAACAGATTAATTCATATTATATTATTTCTTATGGGAAAATTTATTTTGCTTTGAAAACAAACCAGTTTTCAAACAACTTTTAGGAACGAATTAAGTTTGAAAACTGAGCTTTGACTGCACTTTATTTTGTATATTCATTCAAAACTTGATGAGAAATTTTTCTTAGTCATTATCATAGGTCCTCTCCCCTGTATTTATACTGATTGACTCCAGTGGTTCCAAATGTGACTATAATTGTTAAAAAATGGAATCAACTAACCTAATTTGATGATTTTGCAATGAGTAAAACTAAGAAATACCTTCCTAGTATATCATTGGACTTCCTTCTTGCCTTGATAACAGCTGCATATCTGTTTGGCATAGACTTGATTAAGTTTTGAATGTTTCATCCAGATGATGGTTGTATTTAAACATTGATTAACATTTCTTGTAACCATATTTTGGATTGTGGCTTCTTATCAGTGATGTTTCTTCCTAGTTAGATCTAGCAATTTTTGATAGGCAAAAATTGCTAGATAAACTTAGGGCTGTTTCCAGACAGAGGTAAGATTCATTATATATAATTGGTGCTAGAGTGGTGCAAGGATGGATGCTAGCCCACTGTAAAATCTCCTTGGCCATTTGCCCACCCATCCTAAAATAATTTATTCAAGTCTCCCTAAATTGACCACTACTGGGAATTCTTTAAATATAAATTCGTTGTTTGTCATGTAATTATATGTTCTTACTAAACCACTTTGGCTTGATGACAAAGTGCTTCATTGAAAAAGAACATTGTGTGCATCACCAAACTTGTCTCTGATAATATGTTGCAGAGGACAATCAATAATCATTACATATTCTGCTTCATTCGCTGTACAATCTATGATGTGCAGCTGGCATCTGTCTGTGTGGGAAATGCTCCCAATAGTATTTGTCCAGGTAGATGCTCCACACTTTCTATTATGTGACCAGCATGATAGGTTTCCAAAACTTGATGATTTATATAGTAGACACTATTGGAGCCTGGAGATTAAACTTTAGATCATCAGAAAATATCACCTTTTTCAGTTGTTCTTTATATTCTTTTGTCCACTTGAGATGCATTGTTGACAAAGATTTTATCTTTTTTGTCAACAATGACTTCTTTGTATGATGGCATACTATCATGCCCATACCTCAAAGGTGACTCATAATACTGTGAGTTGTTACTTTTTGTTCAAGTAATTTCCCTAGACCACTTTAGGTCAATGAATGTGGCAACTTTGTTTCTGAGTGAAAATCTCTTAAAAGCTCAATTCTGGGATGGTGTACAATATAGAGAGCCTTTTTCTGTCTCTGCCTTTTGTTCCTTCAGTACTCCTAGTTTCTTTCTATTTTTTAATAGTCATAACACTAAGAATTGATTAAATCCAATTCTCTGTGCAATTTGTCTAGTAAAATAGCTTTCCTTGTACAGCACAGTAAAGACACTCTTCTTCCAAGGGGTTTTCTACAGTTCTCCCCGTGTTGAAATCACATAAGAATGTACCTGTACAAATACATTTGTCTTCAATGTTCTGACCCAATCATTCTGTGCATTGGCTTAAATATCCATAAAGAATAGATGACACAATTAATGTGACATATGATGCAAAAGGTTGTGGTTTTCATGAAATTTATTGCATGCATTTCTAGATTCTTAAAAATTTAAAGGGCAATGAACAGAATAAAGAATATATTTGTCTGAAGATGTGTGCAAGCTCAAAAGCATTAGCTTTATTTTGTTTTAATTTATTAATTGTTTTATACCATTAAAACATTGTTGAGTAGATTAGATTAGTTTGTTTCTAATTAAAATGTGACTAAGTCAAAAAACACAAGTGAATTTTGTGTTAAATTATAGAAAATCTGTATTAATTAAAACATATGATGAATTTATAAATTTTCAATTGAATGAAACATCATATTTCCAATATATGTTAATATTCATGAAAAATAATTTAATTTAAAAGTATTTTCTAACATTGAATTTTTTTATTAAGAGATTTATTAGTAATTTAAACTCTGTTTATTTTTTATGAATATTTAATCATTCACATATTTATTTTTATCATTACTACAAACAGTTGAAAATTTTTATTCATATTATATTTACNTAATATTATAATCGCGTTGATATAATGAATTTATTGCATTTAAAGATTACAAGATGTTTGCTTTATGCAGAATAACCTTTTAAAAGTTAGTTAAAGTCATTTATTTTTATCATTATTGAATAAACTATTACACATAAAACCTTTTTAACCAGTAATTGAACTTTAATGTAACTTCCAAACGTTTTTGGCTCTGCCTCAGGTGTTTAACAAAACTGACTTCCAGAAGTTGGAACATTAGAATGATGATGCTCGACTTTAAACTTTGAATATATCAAATTCATGCGGTTGATTGACTTTGTTTGAATTTCTCGTACAGGTACTTCCATGCATGCACCACCGTCTAGCAGTCTTTAAAGTTAATACAGTTGCCTTTCAAGTTGGTTTTATAAACTTTAAAGAGTATTAAAGTATTAACTTTAAGACTGCATGATGCGTGGAAGCACCTGTACGAGAAATTCAAACAAAGTCAATCAATCGCATGAATTTGATGTATTCAAAGTTTAAAGTCTAGCATCATTATTCTAATGTTCCAACTTCTGAAAGTCAGTTTGTTAAACACCTGAGGCAGGCTTTGATGAAGGTCAAAAATGTTCAGAAATTACGTTAAAGTTCAGTTACTGGTTAAAAAGGTTTTATATGTGATAGTTTATTTACTCACTCTAGTAAGTTGAGAACAAGACTGTTATAATTATCATTATTGTTCCAAAATATATGGATGTGTAACATTACATTAAATAAATAAATAAATAAAAAAGAGAGAGAAAAAATTGTGTATTATTTTTATTTAAAATTTTTTAATCTATGAACAATCCTTATATGAAAAACGGTTAAATTAAAATGTCATTTGAAATGTAAAAAAAAGTTAAACATTTTCAGGTAAATACTTGACACTTCTGATATTCTAACAAAAACTATATTTTATATTTAAATGCACATTGATTAACATTTCTTGTAACCATATTTTGGATTGTGGCTTCTTATCAGTGATGTTTCTTCCTAGTTAGATCTAGCAATTTTTGATAGGCAANCACATAATTTTTTGGCAATCTGTATAAACTATGCTATAAGCAAAAAATTGTAGGATTACTTACAGAGTGTTCACTGTTTGACCATGCCATTGCTTAAGCTTGTATACGGCGAAAAATACGGTAGATATAATTAATTTCCAAATATTCTATATTAATTAACTTCTATATTAATTTCCAAATATTATAGAGATAATTAATTTAGTTACCAATATTTACAGATGTAACTGATACTGAATGATATCAATTTGATACCAATATATTAGTCTATTGGAATGTTCCTGCTATATTGGTATTGGTATGTTTTACAAACCAATGATCAAATGTTTCTTTTTTTCTTTTTTATACTGACTAAAAAAAAACAGAGTTTGGAATATCATTATGTAAAACAAACTGATTCCAATACACTATTATAAATTATCTGTATCAGATTGCTATCAGTAATCATCTGTAATTACATTTATAGAATAATGACTTTTTTTAATAAATTACCTTTTTTTTTTATATATTACAGAAATATACTAATGGTGTGATTTGTCATGTTCTGTCATACAAATTTGAGTTCTAAGGATCAGTTTTTAGAACAAGCAAAAGCTGCTCGTCTAGAAAGAGNGCGTTTTCTGATAATTTATTTTTCTGCAAAAAATTTGTTGAACTTTGGAGACATCGTTAATAGAAATAATTTTTATGACTGTTGAATAAGAAATGTTTTTTCACAAGAAATGTATGAAATTACAGTACTGTATTAGACTTACAGTACCTAATTTATATACTGTACAGACGATAGTAAACTCAACTTACCTGCCTAAACTCTCTGTAGCGTGTAAGTAGTTTGTTTTTTAATAAATTATCTTTTTTTTTATATATTACAGAAATATACTAATGGTGTGATTTGTCATGTTCTGTCATACAAATTTGAGTTCTAAGGATCAGTTTTTAGAACAAGCAAAAGCTGCTCGTCTAGAAAGAGCACAAGAAAAGAAAAGAGAACAATCTGCTATATGTATACAGGTATGATAAGTTAAAATTAGTGCTGGCAAAAACCACAAATTCTCAAAATTGGTTAATCAGTTTGATAATAACTGGTTTTTAAACATCAGATGCCAAACTGATTTCAAAACCTCTTTGAATTCAGTAGAAGTGATGTTTTATTATTGTATTTTTTTAATAATAATAAAATAATACAATAAATATTAGCCAAAATTCATGAATATGCCTGTATCAGACAATATTTCTGCCAAAATGAAGTCTGTGTTTCTTTGATGGTAAATTCTAGTCATAAGTACCATATTTGCTTGATTAAACATTTGAGGATTTATTTTTAAAGTGTTTGTATCCCCTAGAGATTATTTTGAGGCTATGGTTACTCGATTGTGACTTTCTCACACTCAATATTTGACAATATTTATAATTTTATTTTTAAAAATGTTTCCGTGAACCTTGAAATAGAAAGTGCTATCTGACTCTGGACAATTTGAATTTAAGTTAAATTTCAATTGTCAAACAAAAGTTAAATTTCAATTGTCAAACAAAAGTTAAATTTTTTACCCGTCACTCTAACTACATTATCTTGTACTTTGCAGTATTTCAACATGTTTCCCTACTTTTTATTTTTAACATTATCTTTATTCCTTGGGGTTTATTTGAATCCTCGCAGTTAATTGAGGAAATATGGTATTTATAAAATAGCTTTGAAATCTTTATTGTTTTAAAATTAATTCATGTTAGTTTTTATGTTGATTTTAATTTTAAAATTTAAATATGAATAATGCATAGTGCTAATTTAAAAAGTCAAGGATGGTAAATTCAGGGTTTCTGTGTACCTGGAATGTTAGGGATTTTCATTAGTGTTTGGAAAAAGTCAGGAAATTTGCCTCCTTGGCTGCCTTGTTGATTTTTTTTTTCGCTGACAATATGCTTGACTAAGTGTAGCCATCTGCAGACAGCAAGAAGTAATGTGATGCAATACAACTTATGACAGGAGGTGCAGAATATTTTCAAAACCCAAAATTTCTCTCAAGCATACACAAAATTTCCCCAGAAATTTACGAAGTTCAAAAAATGATATATAGTCGACCCCCCTATAATTACGATTCCTATAAAACTACGAAAAAATATACGTATTTTGGAAATGTTGAGTCGGATTAGTGTAGAATCGATTAATTTTATGGAAGAAAACCTTTCAATCAGCCGTAGTCCGTAAACTTGACACGTGTCGGGCTGTGATTGGAACGACTTGTAAGAAATCGGATTCCTAATAAATTGGAACGTATCTATATCTTATAGGGGGGTCGACTGTATAATTATAATTTAAATGGTATTATTTACCATTTTTCATTTTAATAATTTTGATTGAAATTTTTTTCAGTCTATTAATACTTTATAAAGTTCAGAAAATATATTACGGGATAAATTTAATAAATATATAGTTTTGCATATGGATTATACAGGATTTGTTAATGAATAATAAATAAATAATTGCTTTTTTCTTCTTTTCAAAGACATGTAGATTTATGGTTATGGATTAATAACAGAATAAATTATTTTAATTTAATAAAACATTTTATTTTTAGTTTTAATAATTCGGCAATTATAAAAACTATATAACTGTTAATTATAAAAAATAACTAATTAAAAAGTTGGAGAAGCAATAGCATATGTATATAGTAAGTCAAATGCTGTTTAATTTTGTTATTGTTCCATACTGTAAGAGACATGATGGTCAAGGAATTTGTACAAAGTTGATCAGGAAAAGTCATGGAATTTAAAACAAAAATTTGAATAAGAACTCTGTAAATTGGTTCTCTGTACAAATTGTATTGTTATGTGGAATTATTACTATTACTGCAGTAAATAATCTTCAGTTAATCATAAACAATTTCTAGATTATTTTATGAAATAAATAAACTGCTTCCTACAAAATACAGTTGCTCATATTATATATCTCTGATTGACTAATTTATATTTTAAATTTAATCAATTATTGAATAATTAAATTTAAAACATCCTGTTCAATATATTTTAAACAGTTAAAATTGTTTATCCATGATTTTTCTATCTTTTTCTAAGTCTTACATAAAATATTTTTTTGTATACAGTTGACCCCCCTATAATGCAGTAGATACATTCTGCTTTATAAGAATTTTGCATTGTAGGAATCCTCAAATACACAAGCCAGTCACAACCTGGCACATCTGCAGTTTATGGACTACAGCTGTTCGAAAGGTTTTCTTTCATAAAATTAATCGATTCTAGACTAATTTCACTCAACATTTCCAAAAAAACATAATTTTTTGGCAATCTGTATAAACTATGCTATAAGCAAAAAATTGTAGGATTACTTACAGAGTGTTCACTGTTTGACTATGCCATTGCTTAAGCTTGTTTTCGTCGCGGAGAAACGCACCAAACGGCAGCCGCGTTTTCTCATAAGTTATTTTTCTGCGAAAAATTCGTTGAACTTTGAAGACATCGTTAATAGAAATAATTTTTATGACCGTTGAATAAGAAATGTTTTTTTCACAAGAAATGTATAAAATTATAGTGCTGTATTAGACTTACAGTACCTAATTTATATACTGTACAGACGATAGTAAACTCAACTTACCTGCCTAAACTCTCTGTAGCGTGTAAGTAGTTTGGCTGCTCGTCCACTATTGGTCCAAATTCGACCAATCCTGTCATGACACGAGTTGGCGATGATGTTTTACTGCATTTTATGAGTCTCTTTTAGCGTCTTTATATGAATATGGTCACAATTTTTTTGCCGTGATATATGAATCCGCATTATATGAACTCGTGTTATAGGGGGGTGAACTGTAATTAATTTTGCTTTTAAATTTGAGATAAATATTTTATACACTGTAAATAATTTTAAAATTTATTATTGTAATATTCACATATCTATTTTTATATAATTTGATACCTTCATAAATAAGACATTTGTCTTATAAGAATGATACTATAAACAAAATAAAACATTATTTGTATTTAATGTCTTTAAATAACATATAAGATCATAAATTGTGATAAATTATAAACACAAAATACAAACTTGAATGATTTATTGATGTCGGAAAATGATTGTAATAAAAACAGAATTATATAAGAGAAATTTATTTAACTAAATTTTAATGTCCATGATATGATTATATTACTACCAATCAACAATTTGAGATTAAAAATTTTACTGAAATTATTAAGTTTCACTGGGGTTCCTTATTTCAAATTATTTTTATGATATTTTTAAAACAAACACACCATATAAATATCATTGAGTATTAATAATGATAATTAAAATATTTGTAATGGTCAGAATAAATTTTCATCATTAAATATAACTTAATGGGGATTAATGAAGCATATTTCAAAAAGCTTATCCAATTTTTGTACTAAAATTGTTGAATTATTGATAACTTTTATAAGTTTAATTGTTTTTATATTTAAAAATATGATAATTTATTAAATTACATATAAATTGACAAAGCTGTTAAAAGATTTTTTTAAAATGGTTCTCTAGTCACATGTTCGACGCTATCTAACAAGATTGAAATTAAAAAGTAAAATTCGTAAAGAATTTGATGAAATATTTACTGAAGTAAGAGAAAATGATGGAAAGACATCTTTGTCTGGTAAGAATTTTTTTTTAATTATTATTATTAATCAATGAATTCTTCCAGTTTAACATTTCAAATCTTATTGTAAATATTAACTGGTAATAATGCACATACTGTTAAATGGAATTGTTAGTTTCATTTAACAGTATATGCATTATTATCAGTTAATATATTTTTTTAATGTGATAAATTTTAATTTTATTATTAAACTTATTTATAATCTAAAATAAACACAAAAAATATTTAATTTTCTATATTTTCTGTTTTTTTTTTATGTATTTTAAACTGTTATTTTAAGAAGTTAATGACTTAAGAAGTTTTAATAAAGCAAAAAAAATTTTTTTTTTGACTTCAACTGTGTATTTTTAATTATATAATAATAATTAAAATATCAAGTTTTAATGGTTTCTTTTTCTTTTGCTGTAAACTTTTTAAAATAATTTCAGCTATGGATTTATATACAATGAATATGTAATTTTCAAATTTTGTTTACATATAGCATATGAAATGTTTAAAGTTATTAGAAAATTTCTTTTTATACTTGAAGAGGAAGAGGATAAACAAGTAAGGATTTTTTATAATAAAACTCTCATAAAATGTATATTACATTTTATTTAATTAATTTCTTAAATATTTATTTCAGCGATTTGAAACTGTTTGTAGATATGTTATCACTAGTATGGATAATAATTCTTTGCAGGTAATTTTTATATAATTTATATTTTAAATTAAAAATACTTAATCTGTTTTCAGATTTCAAAATTGTATTAAAATAAAACTATTTACTATAATAATAACAATTAAGATACATGCTTAGGTGGTATACTTAAATAACGCATAAAATATTGTTGATCTACAAACAAGCAACAATAATTATCCTTTGACTATTATTTTATCAGAAAATAGCATCTTATTATCATGTGACACTCTCTTGATAAATCATAAATAGCAATTTTCAGCAATGCTGTTGTTATTTTTATATCTAGGGCTTTAATAATGTTAACATAGAGTCATCTCTGTTGAAAAACATGTGAAACTTACATGGATGACTGGAAAAAATTGCAGTGAATGTATGATGAATGAAAATTATTTTAGCAGTTTGAAGGCTTGGATTTGGACAAATACAAATCTGATTAATCTATTAATTTTTTAATAATACATTTATGTTGAATATGCATAATACTGAAGTTGGAAAGGGAAGAAAATGAAAATTCAAATAATTGAAATATCAACTGTTCAATCCATAACTGAATCAGAGATTGGCAACCTTTTTGTTACTAACTAAGGGCGCAATAAAAATTTTAAAAACCAGTGAGGGCCCATAGTTTAATTTTTGAAAAAAAATCACAATGTTATAATAAATATTTATGTTTGAAATATGTATATTTATACAAAATAAAGATTATACATGCATGTAATAACTAAAAAATGAAAATGAAAAGTAAATACATAAAATAATACAGAATCAAATTAAATAAAATTACAAGTTTAGTGACCTTTCACTTATACATTTCTCATTTAAGCACCTCTCAGTTATGAGACGATTTTCACTGGTCTTGGCTGAAGCCTATGGGAGACAACGTCTAAAATCTCATTTGAATGACTCTCAGTTAAATGACACTCTCAGTTCTATACCCCTACATATGTTTNAAAATAAAAATTGAAATTAAGTAACCAAATAGATTCAAATGGATAATAATTCTTTGCAGGTAATTTTTATATAATTTATATTTTAAATTAAAAATACTTAATCTGTTTTCAGATTTCAAAATTGTATTAAAATAAAACTATTTACTATAATAATAACAATTAAGATACATGCTTAGGTGGTATACTTAAATAACGCATAAAATATTGTTGATCTACAAACAAGCAACAATAATTATCCTTTGACTATTATTTTATCAGAAAATAGCATCTTATTATCATGTGACACTCTCTTGATAAATCATAAATAGCAATTTTCAGCAATGCTGTTGTTATTTTTATATCTAGGGCTTTAATAATGTTAACATAGAGTCATCTCTGTTGAAAAACATGTGAAACTTACATGGATGACTGGAAAAAATTGCAGTGAATGTATGATGAATGAAAATTATTTTAGCAGTTTGAAGGCTTGGATTTGGACAAATACAAATCTGATTAATCTATTAATTTTTTAATAATACATTTATGTTGAATATGCATAATACTGAAGTTGGAAAGGGAAGAAAATGAAAATNTTTCAAAATTGTATTAAAATAAAACTATTTACTATAATAATAACAATTAAGATACATGCTTAGGTGGTATACTTAAATAACGCATAAAATATTGTTGATCTACAAACAAGCAACAATAATTATCCTTTGACTATTATTTTATCAGAAAATAGCATCTTATTATCATGTGACACTCTCTTGATAAATCATAAATAGCAATTTTCAGCAATGCTGTTGTTATTTTTATATCTAGGGCTTTAATAATGTTAACATAGAGTCATCTCTGTTGAAAAACATGTGAAACTTACATGGATGACTGGAAAAAATTGCAGTGAATGTATGATGAATGAAAATTATTTTAGCAGTTTGAAGGCTTGGATTTGGACAAATACAAATCTGATTAATCTATTAATTTTTTAATAATACATTTATGTTGAATATGCATAATACTGAAGTTGGAAAGGGAAGAAAATGAAAATTCAAATAATTGAAATATCAACTGTTCAATCCATAACTGAATCAGAGATTGGCAACCTTTTTGTTACTAACTAAGGGCGCAATAAAAATTTTAAAAACCAGTGAGGGCCCATAGTTTAATTTTTGAAAAAAAATCACAATGTTATAATAAATATTTATGTTTGAAATATGTATATTTATACAAAATAAAGATTATACATGCATGTAATAACTAAAAAATGAAAATGAAAAGTAAATACATAAAATAATACAGAATCAAATTAAATAAAATTACAAGTTTAGTGACCTTTCACTTATACATTTCTCATTTAAGCACCTCTCAGTTATGAGACGATTTTCACTGGTCTTGGCTGAAGCCTATGGGAGACAACGTCTAAAATCTCATTTGAATGACTCTCAGTTAAATGACACTCTCAGTTCTATACCCCTACAAATGTTTCAGACTAATGTATTTTTTCCTCACTTTACCGTCATGATTGTCAATCACAAGAACTGAATGGGGTCGCTTTGGCATAGGTCAGACAGGTGCCCAGGAAGATAAGAAAGCAGAGAGGATTATCATACTGGTCATAATAACTGTTTTTAGAAACAGAATGGCTGCTGGCTATATGTTTAGATAAAACAAGTGGTAATGTCATAACCCTTTAGCAACCATTGTCATGTATTTCCAGACTATTGTTGCATCCTCTAAAGCTGTTTCCAGGTATGTATTGACTAATAACTTTGGTATGAATTTTGTGTCAGGTCGCAATTATTTACATGCATATTTTTCAAATTTTGACAAATTGACCTTTCCTGACATGTATTCTATCTAACTATGGATGGCCAACAAAATTTCCAAAATCAACATACTTCCAGTTTCTGCTCTATGAAGATTTTAACATAAAGAAAAATACAGTACTGTACTTTGGCCCCACAGATCCACTTTTGTAGTAAAACTTGGATATGCACATTAATTTCTAGGTGACATAAGTAGCAACGTTGCCAGATTTAACTTTGTATTTTGAATTTAAAAGAAATAATGCTTTTAACTGTGGTAATCAATACTGAAAGGAGTTTACAGTTATATTTTTAACACTTTTCATTCAAGTTGGTCAGTCTCTCTCTTAAACAACTTTTATTATTGGTCCCTATAGAGTTATATAACTGAGAGGTCACTGTATATACATTTGTGCTTGCATGACTATGGCTCTAGAAGGTGCATGGCTCTAGAAGGTGCATCTAAAATGCTTCTCAGGTGCTGCATTGCTAACTCCTGTAACCCTTGCTGTAAATAATTCATGGTCATTTCTTTGCTCATTTTGTTTTGAATTTTTTCATTTCTGTTTGTTGTTATGAACATTGGTTTGGTTTATGTTTTTATGGTTTTTTCTTCTTGTTGTATTATGATCATGAATTTTGATTAATGAAATGAAATGATCTCCTTACATATCTGAACTAGACATTTGAATTATAAATGAGAAATTAGGTTAAAGAAGATATCTGAAAGACTGAATGTAATGTATACAGTTAACTTATTTTAAGCAGTTGTAATTGCCATGTAAAATGACCATTAAACTAGACATGATTTGGATAAATGAACCAGTATCTAGATGCATTTTTTTTTTTCAGTTAATTTAATATATTTTGAAAAACTATTTTGATAAAACATCATTCTAATTTCAACTGTTCACATTTAAAGATGGCTTTTTAACTGGATCAAAAATGTTAGTCCTCTTTAAATTTTATCCAATGTTAAAGATACATGAATTAATTTGTCTGTAATAAACACATAATGTTCAGATATTTTGACTGAACCATTTAAATTATATCAACAAATTTGTCACTGTTGAACCTTTAGAATGATATCTCAATCTTTATTAATTCCTTAATCATTAGTGAATTATTTGATGTGCCATTTTGCTTTATGATTTTACATGTTACATAGTTTATTGGTTCCATGCTAACATGATAGCATTTAATATATAATTAAATGTTGCATTTTAAAAGTAATAGAATAAATACAATAATGTAAAATTATTTATGGGTTTAATTGTAATTAAATTTGATTAAAATAAAAATTGAAATTAAGTAACCAAATAGATTCAATTTTTAGAATATAAATTTTGAAATATGAATATTATATTTTCTTTAAAAATACCTATTAATAAACATTATTTATGTGAATTTATAAATAAAAACATTTTCAACATATTTATTTAAATTTAAAGTTATCAAAAAGTTATGTAGAGGGCATTTTACTGTAGTTTAAAAAAAATTTTTTAAATTAATTATGAGCACTAAAATTAGATTTTCAAACTTGAGAGACAGTGGCCTACAGAATGATGAGAGTGGTAATTAATAGTTATCAGACGTTTTTTTTATAATACAAGAATATCACAGAAAATCAGGTAATTGTTTGTTCACAGGTGTTAATGATATATATGGAGTGACCATAATTAAAGTTTATCTAATCTAACTGCTGTAGCAAGATATCTATTAGCCTACTGTAACAGCAACTATAAAACTTGATAGTGATGATATGGACTAATGAGATGATGTGGAAGTATTTATGGAGTAAAATGAAATAATTCCAACACATAATAACCATTGCTGGTGGTAATAAAAAGTAAAAATTTAATATGCATTAAGAAGGGACCTCTTCAATGTGGTGTATCTTCTTCTTATATATTAAAGCAGAAAATGACATGGAAACTATTAATGTAAGAGTGACAAGAGCTATGATAGTGAAATGGCATGTTACCTTGATTTTTAGGTCAAGGTAACATGCCATTTCACTACCTTAGTTGAGTTATGAATGTCACTATGGTAGACATTGGCTTTTAAGAAATTTCAAAGCCAGAAGTTACATAGATCCAGATCTGGAGACTGGGATGACTTTGCTAAAGAAAAATAACTGACACTAATCTTATCATTTTTGAAATGGGCTCAAAGTAGTTCCATTACAGATGTAACAATGTGCAGAGGAGGTCTATTATGCATAAAAATGATAGGCTAGATTATCTGAATCACAGTTGATGTCAGATGGCAACACATTTTTTATGGTGGCTTTAGTATCACTACATAGTTAGCAGCAATGTAGGAAACAAAAGTGATGAACATCATTGGATGTTTATGGAATGTCAGAATGAGAATGAATAATAATATATTACATAAGATAAAAAATTTGTACCGAAGAATCAACAAAACTCTGAATAAGTTTTCATTTTTAAATGTTCAGTATTTTCATGTCTGAGCAACAATAATTATAAAACAACACTTTATGTATGTAAAACTGATTTGGATATAGTAGTGAATATGAATAATATAATAATCATATAGAAAAATAAAACTTGGAATTATTCATAAACATCATAGTTATTAGATTTTGATAAAACAATTCCAATATTTTGTTAAATGAGCCATTTTAATTCAACAACTGTTAATGAATTAAATAGAGTTGCATAAGCCCTCCAAATTGTTAAATCCTATTTATTAGGTTATCTAACTCTATCTAATTTATAGTTGTGGGCTAAAAGTGTCGTTTATTATTACAACTGTTAACGAAGTTGAAATATTTATGTAGTGACAATATTTAAGATAACTGTTTTTGCTATCTCAGAAATATCCTATAACAATATATTATAACTTTAAAAATATTTGATTTTTAATAATGACTGTAACAAATTCATATTTGAGAAATAAATTTTTACTTGATTTACAATTTAAAATTACATTGTATAAAATGGAAAAAATGATAATTGAAGCATATATTTGCATTTTGGAAACATTTAATATTTGCAGTTGAGTCATCCTAATCTGTCTTTTATAATTTGACTTCATATCATATTTTAGGTGATAGGCTTCACCAATGTTTGAATTTGTTTAGAATTTTATAGCAACAGTAAGAAATATTCTAAATTTGAAATTTTTATGTATTTCATATTAAGAATGCTGAGATTGTTATGTATATATGATTTTTTAAAATTAATTCTAATTTAAATCTTATTTTCCTTTGAATCTAATTATCAAAAAATATGTGTTTTATAAAAAAATTAAATATTTTTTGTTTTCTTTTAGTATCAACAATTCATTATTCTTAACGTATAAACGATAAAATATTAAATACCATTCTACAGAAACATTTGATTTCTATTATATATCTGGAAAAGAATTGAAACTGGATTTGTCTAATTTTTTTTCCTCTTTCTGCATAAAAATGTGAATTTTGTAAAAAAATTAATTTTTGAATAAAAATTATATTAACATTATTTAATTAAAAAAATAATTTTGAAATTTTTATTGAAACCTTTATTAAATTGGATTTTAAATAATGATGAAATTTTCTTTTTTTTATTTCAATAGCAAAGTTACATATCAGTAGCATTGAATAAAGAAGAAGCTGTTCTATGGATTCAACAAATTAAAGCATTGTTATGGCAATGTTGTATTTACCTGAAACATCTAAAGGTATTTAAATATTTAAATCTTTTTACAAAAAATGAATCAATTGTTAAACAAATTAACTATGCACAGAAATTTGTCCATAAACACTTTTTCTATAAACATTTTGTTCATTTTGCTTTAAATTCCAAGAAACATTTTGATTATTTTCATATTTCTCATATTTAAATTTACCAATATCTGGTCCAATAACATTTTGTTCTATAAATTAGGTCTGTCATGGAGTTTATATATTAATATGAACAACAAAGATATACTTGTTAAGTAAGAGACTAACTCTTTAAATTAAATTAATATGCCTCAATGTCCTTAATTTATTCAAATATTATTTCAATCACCAGTACAGTGTGTATTTCTATTAATAGGACTTATTAAACTGGTATTTAAGATTATTGCAAATCAGTCACACAGATTAAAATTGTTTTATTTACATTTATCTGTATTTTACTATTAGAAGAAATTGGTTATTACAATATTATTACCATAAGTCTACCTACAGGTAAAAAAAATTAGCTAAATTAGTGTTAATTGTTTTATTTACATTTACCTGATAATAAAGTTACTAATTTATTATCAGATAAATGCTAATAAATTTTAGCATGTGTGACTGATTTGCAGTAATCTTAAATACCAGTTTAATAAGTCCTATTAATAGAAATACATACTGTACTGGTGATTGAAATAATATTTGACTAACTCCTTATTTAACAATGAGTTAATCTTTTACAAGAACAAGCACTTACTAACTGAAAAATTGTTAGTTGAATTTTATTTCAAATGAGATGAGACAATTAATTCTCAGTTATAGAATTCTTTTTAAATTAATTAAAACATTTTAATGCTTTTTGGAAGTGAATCACACGTCATAATAATGTCAAGAATCTCTGAAGTGATGGATTTGCTAACTTTATTGATGTTTACTATAGTGGGAAGAAGACTAAACTGAGAACTAACTGTATCGCTGAACTTATTCACACTGTATGAAACACAAACAAGACACTAAAATTATCACAAAGAAACTTCAATTAAACAAGTTTAAATTTACACATGCAATCATTGTTCAAACAGCTGATTGAATCTCAGACTAATCTTTCTAGCTATCATCACTTAGTAGAGTTTCTGCTTGTTAATATGAGTAGGACTGAATATCTTTATGAGAGATAGCTTGTTAACAGAAATCTCATTGACTGAGTACTAATTAAAATGATTATTGTATTTTATTTCATATGATTTTAATGTTTTTATAGATCATACAACTATCCATTTAAGTTTCCTTATGTTGCTAAGTATTGTAATACATAACTGATTTAAAAGTGTGACAAAAATAAGTCAAAAAAATTTTTTCTCATTGAGAAATTAATGTTGATTTTTTTAAAATTGTTTCTGACAGTTGTTACATTTATCAGTATCATGTGTTTTTTGAACTTTGACTTTTCATTTGATATTAATTCTAGTATGGATATCAAAATTGGTATTGAAATGAACAGCACAGGATTCTTGCATTCTATTTATCTGATATTAAACTAATTATTCTAATTAATGTTTTGTATTAGGTTAAAAAATAGTTTTTATTGTTCAGATTTAGCTCATTTTTTTAACCTGTAGGTAGACTTATGGTAATAATATTGTAATAACCAATTTCTTCTAAAATTTGTAAAATCTAATAATAATAATAACAACAACAACAATAGTAAAATATCAAAAGCTTCACTCAAACACAAACTATTACATACCCAGCAACCATTTATTTATGGTTGTTGGATATGCAATAGTTATAAATGCACACCTTATGACAGTCATAGAAAACAACACAGACAAAATATAATATGACAAACCATAAATACAGACAAAACAATATAGACATCACATTCATTGACAAATAAAACATTTCACATAGATATTACAGGCAGTTGTACCAAACATTCACAACATGCAAAATACATACCCTGAAAAAATTACTAAATACTCAGAACTCACTCACAAAACAAAGTGTCTGTGGAAGAATTGATTAGATATATATTATGCCTGTAGTCCTTTCTTGCATAGGCATCATAACACATACACTACACAAAAGTCTAGAAACATTAGGCTTTACCAATACATACATCAAACTACCGAAGCACCATACTAAACATATTGAATAGAAAATTTTTAAACACAGATACATAAATGAAAACACAATCACAGTAACAATTTTTGTAGCTATACCTCGATCTTGGTCCAGCATAGTTCTAGAGTAGACTAACTGAATATACTACAAATGTTATATGCAGATTTGAATTGTTTATATTATTAGGAATTATTTTTAAAATTGTACTTTGAAATTATGATTTTATAAAAATTGTGTTACATGAAATCCTTGTTAATTCAAAATCGGATAGTTCGAAATCCCATTAGTTCATAACTATAGTACAAGGATCATTCTAAAAGAAAAGAAGGTTTTGATCTGACAAGCCATGCAGTTCTCCCATCACCCACTGCCGCATCATGGACCTTCCCATGTGACTCACTGTTGCATCAGTCTGATGCTAACAGTGAGTCACAACAATCGTTTACTGTTTACAGTGTGATTTTGAAATGTGTGACAAAATTAAAGATCCCATCAAGTGTGAGGTTTGTAGTGTAATACACATTTTGAATGCAAAAAAGTCTGCCCTATTGAAATTTACAGACAGAGAATGTAATGTTTATGGTAATGTGATGAATGAAGCTTCAGTTTGAAACAAATGGCGGGGATTGTTGTCCAGAGGCATTGTGCTTCTTCAGGATAACACACATCCGCATGCTGCTGTGTTAACAAAGAACTTGCTTCAGCAGTTTAAGTGGGAAGTTTTTGAACATCCTTCTTATAGCCCAGACTAGATTCCTTGTGATTACCATCTTTTCCCAAAATTGAAGGATTTTTTTAGCTGGAACCACTGTGGAAGTGACAACGAACTGAAAGAGGTTGTTAATGACTGGTTCAAGAACTTGGCGATAACTGAGTTTGCAGAAGGCATAGCAAGACTAGGCTGAAAGTAGCAGATTGAGATATTATTTGTAGGACTCTATGCTGCTAGGTTTGGGTGATTTTCTACTTATTAGGCTACTTCAAAAATAATTCAGACTACATTTTGATAATGCTTTACTTTTTATAAAACCTATCTGGCAACCTGTAAGATTCTCTCTGAACATGTGCTGTTTATCTGCAGTTTATTTATATCATGAATAATTATTAATTAATGAAAGTAGTACAGTGGAACCCCGGTTAATGAACTTAATCCGTTCCGCGACTCTGTTTGTTAACTGAATTGTTCATTAACCGAAGCAATTTTTCCCATAGAAATTAATGTAAATGCAATTAATCCGTTCAAGTCTCCGAAATTTTTGTCATTTTATTTGTAATATACAGTAATTTTCTTTGATGAAAATGTAGGAAAATGTAGTATCTATCATTACAGCAACAAACATGTGAACTTTGTTTAGTAAAATAGCACTGTACATACCTTCATTTGTTGTAGTTGGTTGCAGAAAAGTGGAGATATACGAACCTTAATGCTTAGAAGGGGAATCCCCTCCAAAAAAAATAACAGGTAGCACTTCATCAGAAGATTCTTCAAGTCAAAGTCTCTTTCAGTAAAAAAACCCACCAGTGGCTAAGTGGTCTTCGTACCTTGAACACGAGGAGTTCGTTCATGGGTTCGCACCTTGAACACGGGGAGTTCATTCATGGGTTCACACCTCGCTCAGATGGGCTGGCCACATGGAGTTTTCCGGGATTTCTCCACGTCTGTAACGCCTAAATAGAGGCCAGTTTCCCTTAAAAACACCTCCCAGAAGGTATTCCCCCTAGTCAGATCGCCCAAGTATTGCATTGCCATAACCTAACAAAGAAACAAACTCTTTCTGTAAGGAACAAGAAAATGATCTAAAGTTGATTGTCTTACTCTTTTAATCAAAATTTTTCTCAAATGCGATAGCACATTGTCATTTATATTGCGTTGTCGTTTTCTGTTACCACTATGACTTTTTTCTTTCTTTGATGCCATATTGATTAAATATATAAATCACAAAACTGAAAAAAGAAGTATAGCACAAACACTCGGAAAAGCAATGCTTAACTTGCACATGCCTAACACCAATTAAAATTTGACACAAAATACCATTACGTTCGTTATCTGAATTTTGTTCATTATCCGAGACAAAATTTTTGCAAAATAAAAGTTCGTTAACCAATTTTGTCGTTAACCAGGACGTTCGTTAACCGGGGTTCCACTGTATTCTGTATACATAGCTGTATTCTGTTTGCTTAATGAATTACATTAGTTATATGGCATTTGGTATATTGTACAGAAATATGCAAATCTCAGATAATTCAAAACACACTAATTTGAAGACATGATTATTTTGTCTCTTGAATTTCAAATTAATGAGGATTTCATGTATTTAGTTTAATTGTTTTTAACTAATGATAAAAATCATCTATCAAATGAATAGTAAAACTATATATCAAGTTATACAAGTTGGATATAAAATTACTTTGAATTTATTTTTTTGTGTATTATTTATATTTTAATTTGAATGCTTTTTAAAAAATGTTTTATTATTGATTTTGTGGAAATAATGTATGAATTGCTAAAACAGCTAATTTTTACTATTATTATTTTTTTAAAGCCTGAATGCCCCCAAGATACAAAACCATTAATGTTGTATCTCCATATGCTGGTTACTTTTACAAATGCCAATACATGGAAAGTGTTTAAAGATTGGCAAGGTATGTTTGCATTATATGAAAGAGATTTATGCATAATTTTAGAAATGAATAAAAATAGGTAAAAATTATTATTTTAATTAAAATTATTAAATCTTCTAATATTTTTAATATACCATATTTTCAAGTGTATAACCTACAATAATCTCCTAAAATGACCTGAAGAAAATTGCTAGAATGAAAATAAAACCTTCACATAGCCTGCTCTACCCTATTCTCCTGCCTCTATATACTATGACTAAATTTCAGCCATTGACTCATAGGTATGAGTTCATAATTGCAATTTAAAATCAGCTTATAACCCACCCCATTGCATAATTCACACTTCCTTTTATATATAGATAATCTGTGAGTTATACACAAAAATATGGTGATTTGCTTTAGCATTAGGAGTCATATAATAAATGAAAATAAATAAATGTGCTAATCTTTATCAAGAATTTGAGAATAAGTTTGTATTTATTCTCAAATTTAAATATTTTAATTTAAATTATTAAAATTATTGTTTTTAGGAGATGCTTTAAAGATTGCAATGAATCAACTTTGTGCAAATATTATGAGTTATTTAGTTACAAAAGGAATGTATGCTAATCTACAGATTATATTAATTAAAGGAATTGTTCGGTCAAAGCCTAGTTTAAAGAGAGCAGCTCTATTAGCAATTACAAATCTTGCAATTAGGTATTGAAGTATTCCTATTACATTATATTAACAATAGTATATTATGAAACATTAATTATAAATTTTGTATACTTTTAGACCATTAGTGGCATGGCAATTTTCAGAGAATATAATGAATCTTTTCCTTCTTCATATTTTATCAGTACCAGCTTTGTTTCATCATTTATCTAATATATCACCAGAGGTAAACAATAATAAAATATTTAAATATGATATAATTTTAAATTATTTGAAAAAGTATTTTATACTGTAATGATGATAATTATAAATCTAATTCATAGAAAAACCATATTTACACAAGTATAGAATTTTTATGACAGGCAGGATTTTAAGTTTATCATTTTCTTAATAAATATTTAATTATATTATCAAAAATTTTAAATTTTTGTCATAAAATTATTACATAAAATTAATAAATAAATATATAAGAATTCTGACTTGTTTTTATTTTCTTTAGTAATATTTCTGAATTGTTTTAAATTTAGCATCATAACTAATTCTGTACAAAGAATTTTCTATATGAGATTAATTTTTAAAAAAATTAAGAAATTTATAAATATTTTTAAAGTAAATAAGTGAAGTAAATTTCTCTTAAATACTATTATTTTGATAGATTAAAAGATTTGATACATTTTAAAAGAAATTACAAGATACCAGTTTAAAATATACAGATCTGTTATTTTTATCTAACTTTTATCAATTAGTATTTTCTTCTTTTAAAAAAATGTAGAAAAATTCATATCATTTAGGAAAATACAGTATTTATATAGAGGAGACAGTTTATTCTAAATATTTTGCCTATACAGTAAGACCCTGTTTAACACGGGGATGTGTTCCTAGACGACAAAGTGCGAAACGAAACAGCATTAAACAAGATCATTTTAACATGGAGTAAATAGGGAAAGGGGAACATGCAAGCAAAATAAACAGATTTTTACTTTAATTTTAAGTTGTTTTTTTATTAATTTGCATAATAATATATGTTAAATAACACATAAACATATGGACACAGAAATGTAAAGTTCATTTTTTGTGATGAAGGTCCTGGCTTTTCTGAAATTTTTGTTTTTTGCAATAAAGTCATGCAGTTTCATTTGTTGCTTTTTTCTTTCCTTAAGCAAATGTCAGTAGCAGACAATCGCATCCAAAATGCTTCATTTTGCTTTTGTACTCCTTTCAAAATCTGGATCATTTGCTACAATTTGATTTTGATTATCATTACCAAACTTTTACTAAGGAAATCTGTAGCAAGTTCTTCGGGTTCTTCATTTTCAGAATCACTATTTACCTGGTAAATAGTGATTCTGAAAATGAACCCTGATTCTGCCAATTCTTGAAGATTGTCGTTGGTGGAATGAGGGTGAGAGCCTTATTAATGACAATTGGTAAGGCTCTCACCAGAAACTTGCAGTAACTACTCAATATCCTGCTCATCTACATCTCCTAGTCCTGGTGTATTGATTAGGTTGACAATTTGGTCAACCTAACAATATAGTGATAGGCTCTTCTCATTGAGAATTCTTGGATACCTTCAACCATAACTTCTTTCACACTCCGTTCATGCATTTATCAGTTAATTCTTGCCAAGTAAAGTTGATATTTCCTATGGCATCCATGATATTATATTTTTTCCAAAATTGCGCAAAACAAACGTAGATTTAAGGGAAGTACAGTGCTATGATGAATTGCCACCTTTTGCTGATTGGTTCATGTTCGGGAATAATCATATTATATATGAACCAGTATAAATTTTGAGCTTTTTTTTAGGCTTTGAGTAGCGTGCGTTATATTGAATCATCATTAATCGAGGCAGTGTTAAGTAGGGTCTTACTGTATTTTCATACCATAAAATTAGGATAGGAATATAACAATTGTATACAAAATATCATTTACTTATTCTGAAAACACTTAACCTTACTTCTAACCTTTAAATTATCACTAACTTTCAAAAGAGTTACATAAATTTTAATATTTTGTTTACTTTATTGCATGATTAAATTTAAAAAGAAATTAGTAAAATGAAATGCAATTTTAGAAGTATGTCTATTGATCTGACTCTTGTTAATAATACAAGATTATTATATCAATAGCTTGGTTTGATTAAAATCTGTCGTCTTTCACAACAAAATGTCAAAATTCTAATGTGGTTAAGACGTTTAAAAGTTGATAATTCAAAATCTTTCAACTATATTATTGTAAAAATAATTTCATTTGAAAATAATTATTTTTATGTATGTGAAATGATCTATTCATCTGTAATTATTTTTTATAATTAAATTATTTATAGAATGTTTGAATAGCTGTGGAACAGGCATATATAGATATAATAAATTTTATTATTTAAATGGTGTAACTGGCAAGCGCCGTGCGGTGCGCTTGCCAGTTACGCCACCCAGACCCCGACCAATCATTTAATTAGCCTTATTATAGCCTGATATTCAGGTGATCGTTTGGTGATTTATTGTATACTACTCGGGCTTTGAGATGTTGTCATTTATATACTATTAAAATCACTTTTAACATAGGTAACTTCTCACTATCTAATGTTTTACTATCCTTAAATAAAAGCTTATCATACAATATTAACAGTGCTTTTATTTAAGGTAGCAAAACATTAGATAGCATCATTTGATTGTAAAAATAGATTCAATACCAATACATTTAAAATTAATTTATTACAGCTATTAATAATGAAATAAAAAGGCTAAATATGTAAATTGTATTATAATTTTACCTTTATTAACAGAACTCCATTTATATTTCAGTTAAATTTATTAATAATTAGCTTTATCTTATTGTGAAATCTTTATTTTGTTAAAAAATAGGTTTTCAAAATTATATTCAGTGATGTAATGTGTAGTTAGTATAAATATGTATCCATTAACCTTACAGTTTCTTGATTTAGGACATAACATATATCATTTAACACTATCTTAGTTTATTGTTTGATATAAAATTTTGTAAGAAATTCACAATACTGTAATGTAGTGATTTGAATTTTTTACCTACTACAGAACAATATCTTATTAATTTTGATTAAAATATTACTGAAATTTGTAATCAAAATTAAATTTTTTAGAATAAAGCAGTTCACATAAATATTTTAAAAATAAAATAATATAGATAATGTTTTCATTGTTTTATGATAACTACCAATCATTTATCAATAAAATTTATTTGTCAAAATTTTGTTGATGTCAGAATTTAATCAGAAGGATTATTTAAAGAAATAAAGAGGAATAATGATAGTTTTAAATATAATTTAAGAATGTTTTTTAAAATTTAGCATTTTATTTTTAAATAAAGTGCTAAAGTTTATAGAAGGTTTTTTTTTATACACATGGGAAACACAAATGTATATTTTCTAAGGATAAATTGTAGTACTGAAAATATTAAAGACAATTAATCTTATAATTGAGTTGAATATTTTCACATTTTAATATAATATTTCATATTATAATACTTAAACTTTTGATTTCTATAAAATAAAACCATTTAATTTTGAACTGATTTAGCTGAAAAATTATAATTATTGGAAGATTATAAATGCCATTATTCATTTCAGTATAAATATGTTATATATGGTTTAATAAATATTTAGTTAATTTTAAAATATTTTTATATGTTTTAAGTAAAATAGTTCATAATCATTTGTTTTTTTTTCAGTGTATAACTGTTTTTTTAAGTCATGGTATTTTTAAGAAAAGCTTGGAATTGCTTATGACTGAACAAAATACAAGGATATTATTTAATGTTCTTGAAGGAAATTATGCTCTTTGTCTGCTTGGTAAGAATGACATTTAGTTTAATAATTATTAATGAGTTAATAATAAAATTACTAAAACTAAAAAATTTTGAAGCTAAAAATTTACTTCATACTTCTTTTTGTTAACTCACAGATAAAAAAAGTTTATTTTTTATATTTTAATATATATTGTATATTTTTATATGTGTATATATATGTTACAGTCAAAACCCGTTTTTAGTTAGAACGCGTTTTAACTAGTTGAAACTAGTTTATACTGAATGTCTTTGTTAAAACCCGTTTTGTCTAGTTAAAACTAGTTTTAACTCAAATTCATTTTTGACTAGCAGTAAATTCTAGTTTTACTATTTTGACTAGCAGTAAATTAATTAGACAAAACTGGTTTTGTCTAATTAATTTACTGCTGTACATGATTTGATTTTAGATAAAACTAGTTTTAACTTTTAACATTAGTTAAAACTAATTTTAGCTAC